CCAACAGCAGCAGCACCAACAGCAGCAACAACAACAGCAGCAGCAGCAACAGCAGCAACAGCAGCAGCAGCAGCAGAAGGCAGGAGAGAAGACGGGGGCCCCTCGATTCTGCGTGTTTGGGCTTTGCTGCTGCAAGCCAGCAGCAAACTGCTGCTGCTGCTGCCCCCCCCTGTGGTGGAGACCCTGCAGGAGCAGCTGCAGCACAAGGGGGCCCCTACCCTCATACACCTCTTGGGGGGGCCCCAGGGCACTGAACCCCTTCCAGCAGCAGCAGCAGCAGCAGCAGCACCAGTAGCAACAGCAGCAGCGGGAGCTGCTGCAGCAGCAGCGGAAGGTGCAGCAGCAGCAGCAACCGCGGGAGGTGCAGCAGCAGCAGCAGCAGCAGCAGCAGCAGCAGCGGGTAGAGAGTGGGGGCCCCCGGGCAGCCCTTGGCGAGATATCTGCTGTCTGCTGCAGTGCCTAGCGAAGCTGCAGCAGCGGCAGCTGCTGCTGCTGCTGTTTGCTGCTGCTTCCTCCCCCCTCACCAGCAACTTCACTGCTGCTGCAGCACAGCTGGCTGCTGCAGCCGCCAGCAGCAGCAGCAGCAGCAGCAGCACTTCCCCCAACAGCAACACCGGGAGCAGCAGCAGCGGGTCCAGCAGCAGCAGCAGCAGCAGCAGCAGCAGCAGCAGCAGCAGCAGCAAGCAGGTTGAGCTGCAGCAAGCAGCAGAATGTCTCGCAGCAAATGCTGCAGCAGCAGCCTCCGCCCTCGCCGTGGCGATGGGCTTAATGCACGGCGGCCAAGCAGCAGCACCAACAGCAGCAACAGCAGCACGAACAGCAGCAGCAGCAGCAGCAAGAGCAGCAGCAACAGAAGCAACAGCAGCAGCAACAGAAGCAACAGCACCAGCAGCAGCAGCACCAGTAGTGACGCTGCAGCAGCTATGGCGCTGCTTTGTAGCTGCTGTTGGCTCCCTGGCGGCTGCCGATGTGCTGCTGCTGCTGGCTTCTCTGTAGCTTTCGCCGTGCTGTCGCAGCTGCTAATGTTTTTGCTGCTGCTG